GCCGGTAGCAACAAAAACTGCGGAGAACCATGCAAAAAACGCATCTTCGCACGGGCAGCCCATGCGTTGGCCAATTATTTAACTTTAAGAGAACACCGTCTCCGGACGGAAAGCCATAGGTATGCGCAGTTCGATTTTTAGGGCAAAAGCAACAAATTTTTCCCTCACTGAAAGTGAATAACTGCATCATCATTGAAATTTATCACAATATCTTCCATTTTTTGAAAAGCGATTTTTCCTTATTTTCGAAAACGAATTTTATCGAAAAGTAAATTTCAGGAATGAGAAAAAAGACGCTGCACAGGCTGAGCCAGTTCCGGCGGGAGTGGCAGCAAGAACACCGATGGAGGTCACAACGCCAACAACTGAACCGGAAGGACGTGGTACGTTCCGAAAATTATTCATGAAACTGGGCGAAAAAGTTGGCACCGTCAAGGTCTCGGAGCTCAGCCCGGAATACATAAACCGAGTAAACAATGCGGATGCTTACAAGGTTAGCGATGCAGCCCTTTTTCGGTCAAAGTTAACTTCAAATTTCCGCGAACAGTCTTGCAAATTTCTTCTTTCATGCCGTGGATGTTTTGTCTTCACCGCAACCCTTCTACGATTCGTTCGCTCGTTCCGGTGGTAAATTGATACTGGAGCATGTCTGTATGTCAAATCCGCCATCAAATTCTTTGTACACAACCCTTAGATAGTCAGCCCCTCTCGCAGAAAACTCACGAGAAGCCGCCAACTGCTTACCGGAAGCAGGGAAGAAAATCCTGCCTTAGAAAAAAGATACGCAACAGATACACAGCAGATGTGCTGTTAGGCTTAATCTGAAGCACAAAGACTGGTAGTGTAATGGTAATAAGTTACGTCCGAAGCGAAGGGAAGTTCGATTCCCCACCGGTCCATAATATTTTTCGAGAAAGGACCCCGTTCACAGAATCAATCCGAACGCCATTACAGTTTTCACAGAAAACGAACACAGAGGAGATTTTTGACTTTTAACTATTTTTTCTTCTTATTATAATCAAAACTACAAAGTTCATTTTTCTCACTTTTAATGCAATTTAGCATTTTCCAGAATTTTTTCCCAATCCAAGCGAATTTTGTATTTTTCTTCCTGCCACACCCCTTCTTCCCCTCGTCTCTTCCATCACATCCTCCTTGTCTCCTCTTTCTTTTCTTTCCGCACAATCACTCTAAGATTACTCAGCTAGGATACAACGATAACTTGACATTCCTGTTGTGTTATGGCCATTTTATAACAGGGCGTTCTACAAAGAGCACTCACAACACGGGCAGAGAATTTCAGAAATTCTCTTTAAAGTTCATACACCAAACGGTCATCCATTTTAATCCGATTTTGATCGTTTAAGGAAGTACTTTGTCAACTAGCAGGAGGCATCATGCACGTACTGCAGCAAAATCCAATATTCGTACCGGAAGCAGAATCGACAATGGAATTTGAATGCCCACCGCACGAGGATCCACTTGAACTACTGGCAGCATCACTAATGGCAATGAGACAAAATTTTGCCGCTCATTTACCTGCGCTCGAAGTAATTTTTCGAGATATTTTCAAAATGCTGTAAGCATCTTTTTAGGTTTTTATCTGCAACCCGAGCAGCACCTGAGGCTTTAGCGCGCTTTTGAAGTCCCGTTCATTCTACCAGCAAACCGGCTTTCCGACGATCTTGACAACTGCCGAAACACCCGATGTAGCGGAAAACACAGAAATCCGTTTCAGAGCTCTAATATTTGATTATCATAGGTGTGCATCGACGTCTGTACAAAACTGGCTGACATAAAACGCGCTTATCAAAAGAGAGGACGCCGAGCTATCCATTACATCAGAACCTTTATCAATGTCGACTATGTCTGTAAGACTGAAACACATCCTTAAATGGCAATAATTAGCGGTGCGCACTAAGGATCCGGTGAAATTATACATCCTGTCCAGCGGGCATTTGCCCTTCACAGTTTGATTTATATAAAAAAAGGCGAAAACGTTACTGAGAATTTTCTGCCAACTTCTGTTTGCCCCTGTGTAAAAATTATATGTACATGAAAGCTGATTTTAAAGCTGCAGGATCATATATAAGTAGGAAACATCTCTCGAAAATTTCAGTCGCCTAACTATTAAAGTTTTTAAGCTTCAGTCGCCTAACTATTAAAGTTGGATAAAAATCCGAGCATACACAGACATGGTTTCGACAGTATGCACTTTTGCACTGCTCTTATAACGAAAAAAAAGCATTAAAAAATTGATAGTAAACAAAAGCACTGTAATTCGACATGTCATAGTGGCTTGATAACTTCGAGTGGCAGTGATTAGCTTTAAAAAATTAGCAGCGACTTATTTTCAAGTGCTGCAGTTTTTTACAGAAAATGAAAAGTGGGACTGTTTTTGACATGATTCTTTTACCGGCTATTAAGACAGTCTACAAATGAGGTAGCACAAAAAATATTTTATTATAGTGTTGAACGAGGAGCGTCAAACATTGATATCCCGACGTCAAGAGATGGATTTTGCAAAATATGACTATACAAACAATCAGACTCAGCAGAAAAAAGAAATCTACGAAAAGGCACTCGCACAATTCAACGAACAGTCAGACGCAGTAAGTAAATCTGTCAACTGTCGACAGTAACTACGTTTTCGGAAGTTCACTAAGCAAAGAGGTAACGCAAATGAATCGAACAAGCAAGTGACTGCAAATGGAAGTATGCAGCTCAGAATCGAAGGATCTGGTACAACTGAGCTCGATGTGTGGAAGTATCTCAGTAATATCACTAGCGTTGGATACCCACACTGATAGCCTGTACTGATCATATTATTAGCTTCCACCAATTTAGTGAGGTGCCAATGCCAAAGTCTTACAAGTGATGGGGAAATTGCCAAAATTTGCAGAATAATAAATTGACTGAAAAGCAGAGGAGTAAAAAATAGATAACTTCAGCACCACAAATAATAAAAATCCGTATTTAAGAAAGTAAACAAAAAATAGTAACAAAGGGTAAATTATAGTATAGAACAACTGATACAGGCAGCCTCGTTTTCCAGGAGCCGCTAAGAAAAGACCTGACAGTGAAATCGCTCCTTCGCCATGTATAAGCACCAGTTTATAACTGAAACGAATGAACTAAATCGTATGGAGCTTATCTAATTTCGGGGAAATATGCGATTCTTTTCGCTCAAAGCTCAGTAACTAAATCTATTGCAGATTTTCAAAAGGCTCGACACAATCCCAGACAAGAAAGAAACACATCGAATGGAGCTGATCAAACTACTGGATGAGATGCGCCGATATCATGACGATGCTGCACAACAGTGTTTCCGTGTTGCTAAAGCAAAGTGGTAACCACAGTTGCGACACCACAGAAAGCTTAAACAGTTCAAAATTTTTCAGAATATCTCCTTGCACCCCGTGTTTTTTAGCTTCACTGCTCCTCGGGTGATTCCCTCACTGCATCAGAGAGTGTGGAATGCAAAAGAAAAGCGGAACACACTTTGTTTATTCTTAGCAAAATCTAAGTGCATGATAATTTCGTGTATGTGATTATCTGATCGCCTTGACTGAAAAAATTCCCAAAAAAAAAAAAAATAAAACTTGAAGGACAAAACCTCTCAGTGGTAAAATCTGAGGGGAAAAAGGTCTCAAGAGGAAAATTTGAGGAACAACAGCAAAATTTTTTTAATCCATCAATGGAGTAACTATTTTGGCTTGTTTTGTAACTTGTTCGATGTATCTCGTTAAAATGATTTTGTGTTCGTTGTTGTTACTCAAATTACATCCAACCATTTACTTGATGCTTGTTAAATAAATAGAAACGAACGCCAGGAGGCCGATGCCACTATGCATTTTTTGCACAGTTTAGTTACCTGAGGCGACAATCTGAGATTTAGTGCAATCATAAGACCGAATTGGAGCACCCAAAAACTAATGTTGTGCAAAAAGTTAATAAAGATTTTAAAAAAAAAATATTGCGCAGCTTATGATAGCACTACTAGACAGTATAAAATGGATGTGTACAAATGTAATACATGCAGATATAATTGCTCTGACATGCTATGCATGTACAAGAATGGTAGTGTAATGGTAGAACATCACGATTCAAAGGATTCGGAGTAAGTGAAAATAAGAGAAGTTCGATTCACTCTTCCAGTACATAATCATTTGCAAAATCGGGCTCTGTTCGTATCAACAGTAAGAACTAAATAATCAAAAGATAGGGGAGTCTGGTGCCAGTGAAAATCACTTGTAACAATCCATTCGATTCAGTGCGCGCGATACTTCATACCTGAAAAAATTTGAATCTGAGAGCATTTTATAGCAGGTCAGTAGCCCTGCAAGCGAATGCTAGGTTTTGGT